CTACAACGTGAAATATAACCACTACACCATGAAATATAACCACTACAACGTGAAATATAACCACTACACCATGAAATATAACCACTACACCATGAAATATAACCACTACACCAATATAACCACTACACCATGAAATATAACCACTACACCATGAAATATAACCACTACAACATGAAATATAACCACTACACCAATATAACCACTACAACGTGAAATATAACCACTACACTATGAAATATAACCACTACAACATGAAATATAACCACTACACCTAAAAAGATCATCTTTTGTGTTAATTCCCCTCCTTAGAACCTGGTGAGTCTTTCACACTTTGGAGACTTAAAGTTTCATCCCTACTCAGACTTCTCTGAAGGAAATACCGCCTAAAAGTACAGCCAGTCAACATCTGTTCGCAGTTACTGTGTAGGTTGCTTCTCTCGGGAGTCGAACCTCCAACCCCTGCGTCTCGCCATCAGCCCCTGAGCTTTCTCTCGTGTTTACATGGTCGTCTTCATTCTCCAGGTTGCCTTTTGCTGAGAAGACTTCTGAACCAGTGGCGGCTGGCCAATAGAGGGCCATGGGGCCTGGCCCCACCTTGAGCCACACAAAAAAAAAAAAAAAAATTATAATAATCATAAATTATACAAATTGTCAATATTTGTGTTTTTGAACTGTGGAATGTACCCAGTAATATGTGTAAAATATGATATCTGCGCAAAATATATGCTTTTCCTGCTCGTCCTCTCTGCCTGTGTGTACAACACGTCTCAGAACGCGCAGCTAGGGGGCCAAATCGTTTTGGCCCAAAAGAGGCGGGTCTATGAAGCAGTTTAGCCAATTGCTGATTAAAGATATAAATGAGTGACTTTAGCCAATCAGCGCCCTCAAATAGATTCAGCGTGGGGCCAAAACCATTTGGCCCCCCTCGCTGCGCGTTCTCGTCAGGAGAAGTCTCTACAGGCGAGCGCGAGCACTACTCCTCCAAGACCCGTTTGAGAGGAGAACTTTGGCGGAGATTCTGCAGCCAAAGAGCTGATCCCAGATCAGCCTGACCTCACAATCAGACAGCAGACTAGCGGGAAAGGGAAGCAGTCCATGCGAAGCTTCTGTACTAGCTGTACACCAGACAGGTTTGGCGAGCTGGATGACGTCATGCTAATAACGTATTTCGCTTTTTAAAACAACGGGGACAGATCCAGCACGGACAGTTAGGGAGTGAGGGATGAGGAGGTAAGGAAACATGAGAACACCAGGGT